TAGGCTGATGATGATGATAAAACGAGCACACAGATCACCAGATGGTATGCAATCGACGGAACGAGGTCCATGCACACCTTGTAACATCTGATAAGTTAGAGGAGCGTTGTCAGCCTCTCAAGGATTGGGCATTTGGGAATAGGGCATGCTTCTAATCTTCCCGATATTATTCCTAACATAATGGTCCTAGGTGTAGGCAAATAACTGGTTTGGTCCTTTTCACCGCAGTCTACATTTAATTAATGTTAGAAATCAGAAAAGAGTAGTGAGAGTATTCATATTTCTTTTAATTTTCCGCTGATAATATTGACACTGGTAAATAAAAATTACGGAGGTGATTTCGAAACTTTTAACTTTCCTTTATCTATGTATACTAATATTATAAAGAGGTAAAATTTGTAAGTTTGTATGTAGGGGTAATCTTTGGAACCGCTGGTCGAATGGCGAAAATTATTTCAATGATAGATAGCTACAATGCTCCTAAGTGCTAAAGGCTATAAAACATCACGACAGGACGAAATGCAGCCGAGCAACGGGCGAAACCACGCGATAGTAGGTAGCTAGTTAAGAAAATAATGCTGTAGGTACCTATTACCAAGGATTAGCAACGCCAAACAAAGTTTCAGCGTTGGTCCTTATTGTAACATCTACGATCGACTTTTAATGTGAGTGAATATCAGATATTGCTTCAAAAGATTGGCATCTGATTTCCGCAGCATTACAAAAGAGGTTAATGATATAAGATCCGGTGAAAACGCCGCGTCAGCTTCCGAAAGTCATCAAGTACGACCTTGTCATGAGTTTATTGGTTGTCTACAGACTACAACAAGTAACCTTGAGACGGTTTACCTTTGCAAGCTTTAAAAGACAACGCTACTAACTTCAATTATGACATTAACAGACGGTTTCTGAAAGGCTTGTCAACGCTAAAATTAACTAATCTCCTGTTAAATCTCTTGTCAAGTCAACTGATTGGTTGTTGATAATTCAGTCAACCAATCAGATGACTTGATAAGAGATTGAATTGATTTTAACATTGATCGGTTTTCGGAAACTGGGGGTAAGACAGTTAATAAAACTACTTTTTTCTATGAGTACACGACACTACCGCTTCTGTGATGTTTTAAAGCTCATTGTACCACTATCTATAAGTTTCTTTCTTTTGACTTTCATCATCAGCCTATAAGTGCCCACTACTGAACAAAGGCTTATTCTGACACGGAGAAGGTTTGAGCATTGATCAACACGCTTGCTCAAGGGACGATTGGCCATTTCAAAGTTATAAGTGGAAATGATTAGCCCAGGTTTCCTCACGATGTTTTCCTTCATCGTATGTCATTGGTGTCTAAATAATTATAAAAAGTACCTACATATATAAAACTTCGGAAACGTCACATTGGTACTTGCCAGGTTTCGAACCCTCATGCATGAAAAGCTAACCACGACAATTTTTTTACAATCTATTTAAATAAAGAAATAATTTTTATTTTTGCAATTAGGTTACACAGTAACACTTTTACACATCACCTTTTAAATTCTACTAACTAGACGAGGCCGACATTATATTCTAGGTTGAAGCATAAATGTTCGTATGAAAGCCGTGACCGATGGCTTAACTTGATGGCGGCACGGGCTCATTATCCGAACGAGTACCACTTATTTATTTACAAGTAGTTTCGATGCAATCACTATAGTGGGGGGGTACAAAGAATTGGAACAAAATTCTAGTAAACCATCTAATAATGATGAGGGTTTTGCCTTTCCTTTCCAAGTTATAATCGCCAGGATATCCTTCCTTATTGGGTAGTTGCACGCGAATGTAACTACTAAAGCATTTAAATTTTTTATTTCACTGCATTGCCTTGTTTATGGTTTAGAGCAAGTGAACAACCATCTCATGCAAAAGCTACGGAACAGAGCGGAAGGCACAAAGCAATATTTAATCTAACGAAGTCCTAGTAACAGTAGCAAGTTAGTACCTACTCTTTTAATAGTACCGAGACATATAACAATGAAATGATTTCTAGTTATTTCGCTATAAAACCGCAAAAAGCGTGCTCCAAAAAAGAAAACAAGCAAGTGAAAGCCAGAATTCTGTAATATGGATGGAAGTTATTGCACGTTAACAATTTAAAGCGTTTCCTGGAGTATGGCATACTCCTCCTCTATTTGTCTTAGTTACAAATCGTGCTTCCGACAAAATTTAGCAATAAGGATCTCTTTTTTGAGGGAGTCATTTATTTATTTTTTCTTCTCTAGCCCTGGGTAGGGGAGAGTATGGTACTTTTACTACTCTTGCACATGTCTTGCAATTTTGACAAATCTCGATATGGTTACATGGTTTAGTTACCTCAGGTCACCCAACTGATTTCAAGCTACGTACGGGACCCATAATGAGCAGCTTATGCGACAACCGATGTCGCGAGGTTCGCATAAGTGATACCCATAATTTCGTTTACGGATGTGAATTTGTGTGATGATTTGCATCCGCAAATGATGCTATCAAAAAAACTGGAATACCCAAGACACTTACCCTGATATATCTCTCTAATCCTGGTGGAATACTATCGTCAAATTCTTCAGGTGTTGTCTCTGATAATGTGGTTTCTTTCTCATCCTTTGAGGAGTCATTGCAATGAGGCTTGACACCGTTTTCCGCAAAATTCACTTGTTTCTTGCTATTGGTTGTTGATACTGCACCTTCTTTGACATTTTTATGGAGCTGGAAATATGTTTTAAATTAATTAAAGTGGTGTATAAATAATAAGTTATTAGTCTAAAATTTTCCTGACCAAAAAGTAAAATTTTGTTTGAAGGTAGATGGAAAAATATGTGCCAGTGAATTATTTTTGAACTAAGTATCTAAACTACAAAAAAAAATGTACAAGACTTTTTCTTTAATTACTAAATTCTTGTAGATATCCTGAACACATGCACATTAACACCATAAGGATATATTTTTTACTGAATGGGTACTGTTATTTATTACTTATTTCAAAACCTAAATATCTACATAATTATAATTATTTACACATTAATTCCTTACATAAAACTCCTTGAAACAAATCAAAGAAATACTAGACCATCTAAGTGGACCACTTATACTTCAGGTCTGACCTCAATGAGTAATATGCTGTGTAGGCAATAGCATTGTTTCAAAGATCATTGAACTGGCCTGATGTCTAATCAATACTCCTTGGTATTTGCTGTGCAATGAAAAACTTATGATGTTGCTGGCAGCTAATAAATTTAGCAGTTGCTGACTTCTTTATGAGTTTTGTAAAGCGGCCATTTGTTTTTTTTTTTAAGTAAAACCGCTAATATACTTATGTTGTCATAAAGTTGATTATTCTTATTTAACAATATTTTTTGTTCTTCTACCCTAGTTAATATAATATTTACCTATTTTAACAAGTCTGTTGGTATTTATTGCAGAGTGCTTAAATGAATACCATCCATAATTTGTTAATAGCTTTTACATATATTTTAGAATCAACACTTATTTCTTCAAATATTTACCCAAGGCTATTAAATAAATTAAATTTTGAAGTAAAAATTTACATATTTTTTCTTTTCTTGTCTTGAAACCTTTTTTATCAATTTAATAATAAAGTTTAATCTGTTTAACACATTGAAAAGACCACATAAATAAAATTCTTTGTTCATTCTTAGAACACTCTACCAGTATTTATAATAATTAGAATAAAAAGTAAAGAAAACTTGAGGTAAGAGTGTGTAAACAAAAAAACTTTAAAAAAAAAACAGACTTTGTATAAATAAACACAAACCTTTTTATTTTGTGACTTCCAACAGCGAAATCAGTTCAATGCAGTAGAATTTTGCGTCAAAACACTGTTTAATAAGTTCTCCACTAATAATTTAACTTGAATAATATCAATGAAATATCTTTGTGAAACAGTTGTGTCAGCTGTCTGGCGTTTGGACAGCGTACAGAATCAATACAGCGTTAGCTATCAACTGAGCTGGAGCGTAGAAGAAAATCAATATTGCGATCATGCGGTACCAGGGCGGCAGCCACAGGTGGTAGTGTTAGTAAACAAGCCAAGTATGCAACTTACGTCGTGATCCGCCGGCCACAGTCCCAGCACAGTTTTCTCCCTCTCTATCTCACGCCTTTTCTCTGCAATTAGCCTTTCTACGTTAGATGAAGATAGCATTGTGCTATTGTGAACGTACGGCGAAAGTTTCACTTTCCGCGGGAAACTCAGTACTGTATTGAACTCCAATGCAAACACTTGTTGTATGACAATTTAAGACTACGCTTTTAATAAAACAATTTGTAAATAATTTTTATTTACTTTACTATTGCTTTACAAGTAAAAAATAATATATTTTCGGTTATCAAAACAAACGTTTAGCAGTTTGAAACTTTGAAATTGAATTTGATATTTCGTCTCCGTTTTGCGTCACTGTAAAATGTGACATTGAATTGATAATATTACCAGCATAAAAAAAGAAAAATACTTAAGATTAATTTTTATCCAATATAAAAGAGACATCCATTATTTAAACATCAGGATGTTTTATTTATTTAAATATAATTCACTAGCTTACACTTTCATTCATTCTGGTCATTCTTAGCATTGAGATAGAAAATATCTTAGTGAGTTAGGCTGAATTCTTTGACATTGACAGTATTCGAAAAAATTGCCAGCACTTGCCCACTTACCGAAACTGTAGGTAATAAATGATGATTAATTCAACAAATAAATTAATATTATCCATGTTTGTATTAGGTATACATTAAGCAAGAGCAACTTTTTTCGTATAAATGAACTAGGTACGCTTACAAAGGATTTCAATATTAATCATTGCCTTGCTCCTTGTATCTTATGGTTCCCTACCTACGTAAGTTTGTAACAAACTGGTCCCTGTCATAATGATTATTATTTTAATTAGATGGTGGGGAATTTTTCGAAACAGTATGGCAACTTTAGATAAGATTATAACCTCAAAACGTTGGTTTGACATACAATACAATACAGTACAGTGATAAAGTGATTGATTCTGATAACTGAGATTGATGCAAGACTGAGTTTTTTATGGTGACCTTTGTAGAATTCAAACTCGGAATACTTATGTGATAATTTTCCAATATTTTCAATTACAATGTTAGTATTGAAATTGTACTCTAAATAAGTAACATCACAACTTTTACACAACTAACTTACTAACTTTTACAAAGGAATTTTACTCTTGTTTCTTATTTGATTTCAGTGGAAATTAACCATAAAAAAGAAGTTAAACATATAAAACCATGGACGGTGACTATGATAAGAAAATACAAGAATTAAAGAGCAAAATCAAGAGCTATCCAGACTTTCCTAAGCCGGGGATTTTATTCTGGTACCTACATAATTTTTTTTCATTTTTTATTTTTATTTTTGCTTTTAAGGAAACATTGTTAATGTCATGAATAACATGTTAATTCTTTGAATAGTGTCTACAAGTGTGTTTATCATCCATTCCATTCATTACTTGTGGTAAACAAGGCACTATGGTGTGGTTTTCCTGTCACTATCATAAGTAAATTCAGCCAGCAGCAATCACATAAAACCACCACACGAGACTCACTTAGTTGCCAATCAAGCATAACTATAGAACTTTTTATGACGTAATATCAGAGCGGTTATTAACTTTTAAAATTTTGATTATTGTAAAGTCATTGTCCAATTGTTGTTATTTGTAAAGTGACAGGTTTCTGTCACTACAGATACCTGTTTACTTGGCTATGACAGTGGTCATAGACAAGTAAACAGTCTTGTATTTTATTATATAAAAGTGATACCCGACACTAAAGTAATAGTCGACTAATTTAATAGTTATGGTCAGATATCGACCTTAACCGTGACCACTCTGATTTTTGGCGGGAATTCGAACGGTGTTGAACTCAACATTACCGATATATATTTTGAATAATTATAATTATAACGTAGAATATTTAAGTATTCATTGTTTTATTTCTGAGTTAATATCTAGTTTCTACAATCCAAAACCATAATTTCATTTCTGTGTCTTATTTAGTTACTTTAAAGTTTTACTTTTTCCGGCAACCAGTTTAATCTGCATTCCTTTTCATAGTTATCCTGGTATTCATGGTGAGAAGTCAAGACATGTCAAGTCATGGTCATGCAATCATGCTACATGCTAGTAATTTTTTCTTACCACTGACATTTTGTTTTTGCCTCACCTATCGTTATGACACCTGGTGAGCACCAAGTTACATTCATCATTCAACTTGCAATTTGGCAATTTTTTTTAATTCAGGCAGCACCATGAAATTCGTCATTCTTTATTTTTTTTGTTTATAAAATAATATCTATCTGGTATCTGTTCATATAATCACTTTTTTTATTATTGTAACATAGGATTCATAACTTATTTCGTAAAGAGTTCGTCTTTTAATTTATATATTAATTTCTGTGTAAATCTTGGGGGAATAACTGCCATGATAGAGAGAGTAGTGAGAGAGCCAAGCTTCGTCACAAATGGGCCTCACAGAATACCGGTGTGAAACAGCTACAGCATTATGTTTCGTCGTGTGAGTAAGGTTACCGGAGGCCCAATCCTTCCCTCCCCCAATTCCTAATCCCAAAAGTTCGGCAACACACTCGTAACTTTTTCGTAGTTGCGGGTGAACATGGGTAGCTGATTACTTACCATCGTGTAATCCCCCTGCTCATTTACACATAAAAAAAAAAATTCAAAGTCAAAATCATTTACCTTAATTAGACCCTTACTTTACTTTACGTTTAAAGATCAAAAGGTTCAGTTTGTCGGTCAGTCCGTAGAGAAACTATTTGCTCCTTTCTTAGTCTAGATTCCGGTGGGGAAGAAAAAGCACATGATGTTATAGTGTTAGGTACACTCTTAGCACCAGAGATTATAAGCCTATTACGTCAGTTCTATTACGTCAAGTACGCATGAATATAGATAACGAAAACAACATTCCGTTACAAACAGCGTAGAGAATACAATATTATCTAAATGTTCTTATCACATAATTATGTATTGAGTACTTATCCTTATGTGATATACAAGATATAGGTACTGAACCGCCAGACCAGAACCAGACCCGAAAGTAAGGCGCGTAGCGACCCATCGCGCGTTTTTAGCGTACGCCTTGTACCTAGCACCTTTGTAGCGTTGCGCCTCAAAGATCCAATAAACTACCGCAGACGGGGCCCAATAGAGCTGATGTTGAGCCGGGGTTGCGAGGCAAACGTAATGAGGCACCGCGACCTCGGCCTAGAGCAGGGACGGAACGGGGGTTTTTAGTCAGTAAAAGTGTGACACTTCCTCTCACGTCACCCTGGGCGGGAGAATTGTAACTTTGATGATTTTTACCTGACAAAAAAAGATACTAACCATTCTTAGCAGTTTGGGACTTCTTACCCGTTATGCAGCCAAATCGCCATTCTGGTTTTTAGTCATTTATTGACAATCCCATCACACACACAAAAAAAGGTCTTAAATTAAACTGTAGTATAATTCTTTAACTTCAACTACACACACACCCTAACAAGATTATAAAAACGAACGTTTGGAAGTATCGGTACTCTTCCACGTACAATACAATTTTTTATTGAAATGTCCCTCCCCAATCCCTATATCTCTGAAACCCTAATCCCCCAAAGACCAGCAGCGCACTCCTAATTCCTCTGGTGTTGCGGATGTCCATGGGCGGCGCCGATTGCTTACCACCGTCTGGAATGGATTACTTTTTACTATGTAATGTAAATACACTAGCTACTCTTGCGCGGTTTCACCCGCTGCTCGGCTACATTTGATCGTAGCGTGATGTCTTATAGCCTATAGCACTCAGTAACATTGTAGCTATCTGTCAGTGAAATTTTATTGGAATCCGACTAGTGGTTCCAAAGATTACCCCCTACATACAAACTTTCTAATATTAGTATAGATAAATTTTCGTTCCTATAATCTGCACATTAGGTGTCATTACATTTTTAATATTTTACACGGAATAACGCTGTTACCTACTATTAAACTTTGAAATACCTACTAAATAGTTAATTTTTCGTATGACCGTATGGAGTTCGCTTGGTCAGCTACTAGACATATATTTAGTTTATATTGTAGATATTTATGGAAATAAAACTCAATGATACAACACGAGATAAGTTTTTGTATCTTATCCAAGGTCAGTGGACTCTGTGGTTGGTTATCAATATTGGAATGTGAATATTTTGTTGTCAGGCTAAGTATCTGTGTATGAGATAGTGAAACAATAAATTTATATTTAAAAATAGGTCAAATGAGAAAAAATATGAGACTGGCACTTTCTATCTGACTACACTGAGAAATAACGTAGTAGTGGCCTGAAGGTTAGATCGCTCGCTTCTCATGCATGAGGATGTGATGCGACATGAGCAAACCTATCAAGTACCAATGGTTAATGTTTCTTTTCTCGATGTGCAAATGTTAAACAGAAACTAGTGCTTACTGAGTATGTAAATGTGTACACCCAGTGTCGTGGATTCTTGGCCCACCCTTTCATACTGTTTGTTTAGTGGGCCCACCTTACATAGGTAATGTATTACCTATGACGTCATGAATGGAAATAAGTAGAGAATGTGTAAGTGTGTGAAGTGATATTGGAATTCAAGCCATATTGTACTAGTAACAAAGCTTAAGGTTTGTTTTGTAGTTATGTTACATCCAAATCTATGCTATGCTATAATTTAATTAATTCATATTGCATAAATACACATTAATATGAATAAATAATGTAGGTACATATATTGAGGAATGTTGTGGTTGATAAATGTCTATTATTTACATATATTATGTGGTCAAAATATAATGACATATAGGTCGGTAGACAAGTAAATATTAATAAATTTTTTCTTTTTCCTCTACAACTACAAGGATGTATGTGGTCTGAAATGCAAAACAATAACAATAGATACATTTTACATTTAAATGCACCATTTACTGAGAATATTATCAGAGGTAAATATTTAATTTTATTAACTGAACCTTTAATGTACGGAGCTATCATACATAGAGGGACCAAGGTAAATTGGTTTCATAGCTTGTTGTGTCGCCGTGTTTATGAAATTCATTATTATTTAAAATATTGGTTTCGGGATTTCTTGCTCCTGTACAATATTTCCATAAACGAGTAGGATTGAATGCGTAACCCACCTCTTATTTAACTCGTGAGGAACTGGGAAGCCGTCTCCTTTTTCTGCGAAGCAGTTATACTCGCAAAGAAGGAAGCAGACCGCGTGAGGGAGCTATCCTCCTCCTCACGCCCCAGCCGCTGCAGTAGGCGACACTTCGGGCGTCGGGGATCGAGAGATGATCTACCGTAAGTGCAGGTCTGCGGACGGCGAGTAAGATTAGCTCGCCGCCTGGCCAGAACTAGACCCGAGCGTACGGCGCGTAGTGTTCTGCGGCGCGCCTCAGAATCCAGAGGGCCTACCATGACGTGCTAAAGCGTGAATCTTCCGGGCGAGAAAGAGGGATATAGCTATAAAAGGTGTATAACTCCATCCCTCTTTCTCGCCCTAGCCGAGTAGCCGCGCAAGCGACTTCGCTTCCAGATCCCGCATCTGGAAGCGAAGTCGCTTGCGCGCGTCTACAGTCTGCGAGCAGACGCGCGTCGCCGGGGCGAGGATCCTCTGCCGCGCCAAATTAGTGCGTGGCGGAATGAGCTCCGGCGAGATCTCATGACAGAGTGAGGAGGAAGTTACAGTTACAGCGGGAGGAAACGCCCTAGTGTCGTCATTGTTAGGACCACCTCTAGGACACGGTGGAGCATACGGTGGCGGTATGCACTGCCTGGGCTGAGCATGCCTTGTCCTCAGGGAAGTGATTAGCGGCGGCGCCCTCTCGCGCTGGTAGGCCTGCTGGAGCGGCAGGAGGGAGTGTCAGACTCTTACTGACTAAAACGCCCCGTGCCTTCTCCTTCTCTAGCCCGAGGTCTTGCCTCACAAGTCGGCTGGGATTTCCATTAACCTATTATCTCTGTGTTGTTAGATTTCAACACTTTCCACTATCAATTGCTGAGAATAAAGAAGATCTAAAATAGAAGTAACATTTTCCTATGCCAAAAAGTTGACTCTTGCTTGTCAGTCCTGTTATCAATATGAATTGCCCATAAGCAGTTGAATTTGCCATAGAATACTGTTTCCTTGGCTCTTACTGATCTGTAGTCCAATAATCGGTGGTTATCTGTTTCTTTCTATTCCCGCGCCTTGCTTAACTAGATACTTCCGCAAGGTTTCACCAGCTGTTCGGCCCCTATTGGTCGTACTTGTGTTCTATATAAGTAGCCTTCCTCGACAAATTATCTAACCAACATAAAAATAATTATTCAACTTGCACCAGCAGTTTCGGAGATAAGGACGTTCAAATAAAAAAACATTCCAATTTTACTGCACGATTGACGGTGTGGCTGGGCAGCCGGTTGCCGTGCAATGTGTCGCGGATTAAAGTTCACCACGGAATAACTCTTTATGTGTTCTACAAATTGTTGTTCCGGGTCTGGGTAAGATGTGTATGCGAAATTGTATGTTTGTCAACGCTCCCACGACACAGGAGAAAATCCTAGTGTGGGTCAAAAAAGTCTATACTTACCTATATGTATTATGAAGCTGTAGTTTGTTTGATCTTCAGAATTACTGTTTCGAATTGACTAATTCTTTTTGTGTTTGTGAGCCCATTTATATTTAGGCTATAGGCTATAAAACATTACGCTAAGATCTCTCTGAGCATAGCAGCGGATGATACCGCGCGAGAGAAGCTAGTATGAGTGTAAAAACCATAAATTATACCACTTACAGGGACATATTCTCAGCGATAGCCGATGGCCCGACGACAAAGTTGCTGCAAAGTTTATTAGTGCAAACTATCAAAGCGAAGTTCCCCGAAGCGCAAGCAGTTGTGGGATTGGAGTCCCGAGGGTTTCTGTTCTCTTTCTCCATCGCAGCTGAGCTGGGCATCGCTTGTCTACCGGTGAGGAAGAAAGGGAAGCTGCCCGGGGAAGTGGTTTCTTATAAATATGACCTCGAGTATGGATCGGTGAGTTCTGAAATATTATGTAGTGTTCTTTGAATGGCGATGGTTTAATAATATCCCTTATTATCCATAAAAGGCCGGTGACGCACTTGCGCTTTGGTATCGTGAGTGTCCATCTTCTAATATTTATAAAGCAGATAATAATTTTCAAGAATCTTTTTTTGAGGAGGCAAAATCATCAAATGGCTTCTCTCTCAAGTTATGGCAAGAGGGAGGGTCAGACTCTTACTGACGAACAAAGCCTCCGTTCCTTCTCATGCTCCTAGCCGAGGTTGCGGTACCTTTTTGCGCTTACTCGCCCGCAACTCCGGCCTTTAGGCCCCGTCTGGGGTGGTTTATTGGCTCTTTAAGGAACTTCCAAGAACTCTGTGCTGAGGCTCAATCTATTGGGTAATGCATTAACTACCCTAAAAATACAGAAAAGCCATTTCTAAAGCTGACCAAAATTGTGTCAAACTAAAGCTCATAGTTACATTTAGGGTGATGAAATGAGTGGTTCTTAGTCAGTAAGAGTCTGACATTTATTTTGCTCTCGCCTCACATTAATAGGCCGGGAGAAGTTCCATGACGTTTTCCCTTTGAAGAGAACATAAAAGAAAATTTTATTAATTTGCAGGACATTCTAGAAATTCAGAAGAACGCTATACAACCAGGTCTGAAGTGCGTCATAATTGATGATTTAATAGCTACGGGGGGTTCCATCACGGCCGCAACACAGTTACTGAAGTCCTGCGGTGCTGACGTCATAGGCTGCTTGCTTGTGATAGAACTGACGTCATTAGGTGGAAGACACAACATTCCTGAAAGTATACCGGTACATTCCTTGATTAAATATGAGTAGATAGTTCAATTTTTTTTATGGAGGGTACGTGTTTGGTCGTGCTCTAGCAGATAAGGGTTAGGTAAGTGTGGCCTTAAGCCTTAATAAATCGTGTGTTAACTGCCATACTCAGAGTCAGTGTTAATGATTACTTAACTCAGATCTTAGTAATTGTTTTTGAAACGAAATAGAAACTTCTTAGTGTGCAATGAGGGATTTAAAGATAGGGAGATTGAGGATGAGGGTGGAGGATTGGGCCTCCGGTAACCTCACTCACACGGCCAAACACAACGCTGTGGTTGTTTCCGGCCTGTTTTCTGTGAGGTCGAAGTAATATATAAAACGGTTTATTCATAAAAATACTCTCAAATAAAGGTGGGTATGCGAAAGTAAGTAGTAATAGCTGGTTTCGGTGTTTTCACTGCCAATATAGACCCTATTTTCTAAGCATTAAAAGCAGTTTTTCTAAGCAGTTTTTATAGTATAATCGAAAGTTCTAGATTTTCTACCGTTATTTGTTTTTTTAATTTATATATTATTTTGTTCTGTTATGGTTGGGCGTTAGAAATGTACTTTACAATTTACTAAAAATGTTTTTATATTACTAAGAATAAATAATTCTTATAAATTAATTATATTTTTATTTATACGGGCGCCATGCAGTGGTTTAGATATGCATAAAATAGCCAGTTAGTAACGACTGTCTGTTCATTTACCTGTTAAATATATATAGTGTTTATTTTTACCTGACCGTGGAAAAGCGTGTACCTATTTCGCTAATAAAATTGAAGACAAAGAGACTTAATGACAACGGTTAAATATCTAAAATCCAAAAATCGTAGTAAGTAAAGTATATGTAAGTACCTACTATTATTACATTTAATAACTAATAGTTTGATAACACTAAAACACGCTTTTATAATAAAAGTAACTAAAAGTTAGAGAATATTTTTTAATTACAAAGTTTTTATATTACAATAGCAGAAGGTCAAACAAGTCAAGCAAAATAAAATTACATTATAGAGAGTGTAGATAGGTTACAAGCTCTCAGCAGTGATACATAAAAATATGGCTAACTATATAAAACATAAAATATGGATTTATTCATGTGTGCATTAGTGTGCCGTTTTTGAAAATCGAATGTTGATTATGTAACCTATCTATACCATTTTACTTATAATTTCATTGCTATAACCTATCTCTGTGCCAATTTTCATTAAAATGCATTCAGTAGTTTTTACGTGAAAGCGTAGATAAACATGACATGCATACTTAAAAATTCGTAAAATTGTTAAATTAAATAAGTTTGTTGTTTGCATTTTGTTAATTTCTAAACAACTTGTTTGGTAAAGTAATCTGAAGTAGTAGTGTTTATCTTGTCTGTACATCTTATTTTAGTTCCGAAAGTAATTTATGTCTCTGGTCACGTATTTTCCGCAATTAAAAATGTCTCAAGTCGAAACACGTACACGCCAGGCAAGGGTTAAGGTCGACTGTGTTATATTAAATATAACATATTTTGTATCATCTTTGTCTAAAATCTGGGTGTCTTTTACATGACCCCCATAGCATAAGCGTTGGTTCTTTTTATTTACCTATATTTTTTGTGATTTGTTTTGTAAAATAATCGCTGGTTCATCTCTGCATCATCCAGAAATTCGAATTATAGAGCCTAAGGCATTAAGTCTTCCTATTTATGTACATATGGGGTGACTAGCGCCTATTGCTATACATAGGGCAAGTAAATTCATAAAACAGAATTTATATAAGCTCAAATTGTATAATTTATTTTAAATTTCTATTAGTCTTTTATCTGTCAACAAACATAGATATGTCTTATTGTTTTCTAGCTATAAATTGTATAATTGATATGTTTTTTTGTTAATTAATTAGATAATATTTCTTACAAAGCGCTGTGTTAAGGCTGCTATACTCTATTTGATATGATATTTATTTTTCTATATTTATTTTGAAACTGCTCAATTTTACCAGCAACTCATAATATACAACATACCTCTTACAATAGGGATAATGAAACGATATTAAATGACATGTCACGCATTCCAGGTTGTACCTATACATATTTTTATTGTTTTATTAAAGTTTTATATGTATTTACGCCTTTGTTTTAATTTCTACCTATCTGTGTCTAGCCGAACAAACCGGGATCCAAAAAGGCTTTAGCACCATAGATAGAGGAGTATCATCAGCCATTGTGTCTGGTGTTTGTGGAGTATGAGAAAACCTTCGATTCAATCGAAACCTGGGCAGTGCTGCTGTCTCTCCAGCGATGCCATGTCGACTAGGTATAGATACATCGACGTGCTGAAGGGTTTGTATAGAAACGCCACCATGCTCATCCGACTCCAGGAAGTCAGTACAAAACCAATCCAATTGTGGAAAGGCGTGAGGCCTCGTTTACGTTTAAGCAGCGCGTTGTGCGGTGCGATGTGCGGTTCGTCATACATTGCTCGTGATGTTCATTTGTTTGTGTTTGCACGGCCGTTGACACGACTTGATGCTGTAATGTAAACCACAGCGCCATGTGATTGAGGTTACCGGAGGCCCAATCCATATGAGGAAATATGTGAACGAATGGCGTAAAGGAGTAGAAATGAGTCTAGTCTATGTTATACTATTGTTTTTTAAGTGCAACGGCAAACGAGCATACGGCATATCTGATGGTAAGCATACAGCGCCGCCCGTGGACACCCGCAACGAGAGCAGCTGGCAGAATTACGAGTGCATTGCCGACCTTCCGGGGATTAGGGTTTTGGGGATTTTGAGATTGGGAAAGGGGAAGGATTGGGCCTCCGGTAACCTCACGCACACAGTGAAAGACAACGGGTTGTTTCACGCCGGTTTTCTGTGAGGCCGTGGTATCAGTCTGGTCCAGCCGACCCATTATCGTGCCGAAGCATGGCTCTCCCACACTTAAATTAAATTATGAGTTGCAATTTTTAAAATAATTGTAATGGGCTAATATCTTTATTGTTGCAAAACCATAAGTAGGCACCTATACAATGTAACTGAACGAACTGATGCCTTAAAATCTTTATTTAAATTATTTTTCTACACTAGTACGGTATTTTGTTGAAGTTAGCTGGTTGTTTTTTTTTAGTTCAAACTCAGATAAATAAGCCATATTGATGAAATATTCAAGCATTTTCTGGGTCCAATAAAGGCAGCCGGGGATGCGTAAAAATGGCACCGCGGTCTCGGCCCAGAGCAGGAAAAGGAATGGGGGGTTTTAGTCGGTAAGAGTCTGACACTTCCTAACGCCCACCCTGGGCGGGAGAAGATATTCGATGATTTCCGTTAAGAAAAAAGGGTACAATAAAGTCCTAAAATAGATATGAATTATTTTATTTAAACAACTGTAAGTTGGAGCACATCCAGACGTGATAATAACCACTGCAATTGGTAAATATGATGACTTATGGATATCAGATTGTAAGTAAGGTTTAGTAAAGGCACGGTAAGGGTACTAAGTATTACTACTACTTGCTCACATTCTTGATCATAGAGGTACTTTAGGTGTAGAAACCTCATCTGCCTTCAGTAAGAGGGACAACTTCTTTTAAGATTTTGACAGATTTCTATGAAGCATTGTTTGTAAAGATAGCGTCTAGTGCTTGCTTGATGCTGGGGTTCATGTCCTTCAGCACTGCTTGGTCATGGTGTTCCTCGTGTTTCACGTCTTTTATTGCAACAGCTGTCGACTCGGTAGGTGGTCTTTGATGTCCTAGTGGTCCTAAACGTGACGGTCAGGTGTCTCCTGTTCCTGGCCCTTTACAGCTGGATGCAACACGTTGGGCTTCGACACTTGGCTTTCAATTTTGTTAACAAAATCCTTCTGGGGTTCCTGAGGATCTTCCACGACCTTTTTGTCTGGCACTTGAATATCAGTGCCAACGGACACTGGATGTTGCGGCGCCTGCGTGGTTCTTTTTTTCGCGTACACTTTAACGGTGAAGTCGAATCCTCTGAACACAGTGGGGCTCTTCAGCATGATGGTCACGTTGTTGTGTCCTTCACCTCCATCGACCACTGTAGCTTCTCCGTCCTTCTCTGGCCTGTTGTCAATGACAACTACACGTCTGATAAGAGCGTCGTCGGTCGCGTTGACGATGATAGTCTGAACTTGTTTCCAAATAGCAGGGCTGGCGGAGAAATTCTTGTAGAATATTAATCGACCGCCCATTTTGCCCACGCTGAGGTCCGCAGCCGCAGCTACGGCCACTAATGCGAGAAATGCGACAACTTTAGCGAACATGTTCGAAAGTTTACGAGCGACTGTCGAAGAAGACAAATACGGTAGCTTATATAGGGCAGCGGTTTGAGGAAAACATAAAAATCAAAATGTTTGTCCTCTATTAATATCCATCTATTAATATCCATAAATAAAGCCATACGGAAAATATGGAAGGCCAGTAGGTTAAATACCATTCCACGGAGTACCGACCTAGGAATCGAAACGGAGTGGATGATCACCCGCCTGCAAAAAGGTGACAAAGAAGTGCCCATACGATGTACCTAATACACACGTGTGAGTGTAGGTTTAAGTAAAAGTAGGTAGGTACCTAGAATCAGAATCACCTCCGTAGTGAGCTAATATCGTTTTAGATCCACTTTAAAGTGCGTTCACTACAGTGCAAAAATTGCAGCGTGACTGTAAGCCGATTTGTATACTTTTACTATGGGAATCTGCTCAAACTTCTTTTTTGTTTTTCTGCTTATTTATTTTTTGCGTGCTGCTAGCCAACACACTATCAGCCAGGTAACAGTAAGTAGAATTCTGTTTCTAAACAATGAGGTGAGAACTCAAAATTTTGGAGATGGATTGACCCAGTTTCTTGTCCTGCTCCAGGCCGAAGCCTCGGTACCTTATTGTTCACGCCCCGCAACCCTGGTTGTTTACTCGTCAGTTGCACTCATGATTCGAACAGACGACACTCATATATGTGCGTTTATTTACATACACATAGGCACTGCACAACACTGAATTTTTGGAAATCCACTTGTAATGTTTTTAAGAATAAAAAAATGTGTTTTGACCTGACTCTAC